AGATAGATAGATAGATAGATAGATAGATAGATAGATAGATAGATAGACAGACCAATATCAGACTGATCTTCAGATCTTGCCATGAGGATTTAAAATCAAACTTCAGGCTTTGCTCTTTCGTTTTTTGCTCGTACTGTCTTCTTAAATTTTAAGAGAGAGGAACTTCACTATGTTGCCAGGTTGGCCTTGAAGTCTTGAGGTGAAGCAGTCTCCTGCCTCTGGATTAGCTGCAATTACAGGCACACACTCCCATGCTTTCCTCAATTCTATTACCCTTTGTTGTGAAGACAGTGCGTGTGTGCTCAAGCAGCTTCTCCATCATTGTGACAGTGCTCAGGTTCTGCATCCTCTGCATCGTGTGTCATCTGAGCCCTTTGTGACTAAGATCTTGTTAGGTGATTCACGCAGATGCAGTCTGAGACATGACTGGAACTGGCACCCGGGACTTTCCTCATTAGCAGGTGAACTCAGTAGACAGTCTTTCCTGTACTACTGAGCAACTGACAGCCTCGGGACCCTACAGGAACTTCAACAGCAGGCATCTCTCTGACGTTTACTCGTGATCAAAATTCATTGATTTAAATCAGAAAGCTTATTTCATTTATTCTGTGTTCAGTTTCTGAGACAGACTCTCAGACTGTGGCCTAAACTGGCTCAGAACTCACAGTGTGGCCCAGGCTGGCTTATTGTCCAGCCTCAGTCTCCTAAGCACTAGAATGACAGGCCGGAGCTACAGTGCCTGGCTTTCCATCAAAAATGTAAATGCGAAACAAGATTAAAGTCCTGTCGCCAGTAACACCATGTTTAAAAGTTTTCAGTATTTATTTAAAAAGTAAACCAGAGTGAGTTTATGTATTTTGTTAGCAGATTTCAAAGGCAATTCACACCTTTGCTTATTTGAATTTAAGAAACTTGTATGCATTCATCAGTGATACTCGTTTTCATTTTTACATCAACTGGGTGGAGTTAACAAAAAATGTTTAAAGGAAAACATTCCATGTCTGAGGCTGAAATCATTCAAACTTTAAAATTAATGAAAGCTGCCATGGTTTCTGACTTGAACACTTTACAATGGCGTTTGAGCCACTTACTCCAGATGAGTGGGGTTTAACTTAACGTGCTGAGACTATTGAGGGCTATGTGTGAGACTCAAGTCCTGCTGCTTTATGATTGTTCCTAAGTCTAGCTCTCAAGTAGGCAAGTTTGTCTGTCTTAGCTTC